GTTTAGATTAATTAGATGTAAACCACTGATTCCCGGTTGTCCTGAATGTGCGATCATTCTGATGCGTTTCCGTACCGCTGTCGTGCCCAGGTCGATGGCTTTGCCTTTCTTGGCACTGACGCGCCTAGCTCCGCGCAGCCTTCCTTTGTTCCTGGATGGGGCTTACGTGGCGTGGTGAGGTGTCGCCGAGCTATTGTGTTGTCCTTTGCGCTTGCGATAGACGGGCCCGTCTCCCCGCAGGTCCCTCTTCGCACTGGCGGCCTCGGCCTTCAGGGGGGTCCGCTTTCCTTGGTTGGATTGTCGGCTCCATCTCTCGAGTCTCCGCCTTTGGCGCCTTCTGTGGGTTATCCGTTTGCTGCCCCCTGTTCTGTGTGCAATGTTGGCTGATTATCGTGTCTCGCTTGCCGTAGGAGTTCTTTCTTGGCCCTGGGGTTGTCACCGGCGCCGCCGCCGGATCCGCTGGGCCCCCCGTTAGCCGGCCTTTCCCGCTGGGCGTTCCTGCCCAGGTTGGTAGAGAAGTCCTTTGGCTGCTGACCCTGCTCTAGCGCTCTCATAAGCGATTCTCTCGGACTGCAGGCACCTGCCCCCTTGGGTGTGGCTCGCGGTCGCCTAGACCAGGTTATCGCTCGGCTCCGCCCTTCGCCCCTCATTTCAGCCGCGGATCAAGAAGCGTCTTACCAGCGGGGTCTGGCCGCGGNCAACCAGATGCTCCTTGGTGCCCTAGCCTCTTCTACGGTGTCCCGCCAGGATGGTGCCGTCACCGAGTTCCTGAGTTGGCTTTCCAGCCATGGTCGTGGTCGGGACTGGTGGAATTGTACGCCAGACGACGTGCTCGTCTATATGACGGTTTGGTGGCTGCCCCGGCATCAGGGCCGAAGTGGTGGCCCCGTTGGGCCTGCCGCCGTTAAGTCCCTAGGTATGTTAGGATGTGCCAGGTGGGTTTATTGGGGCAGAAATTGAAATGCTAATGATGCGTGCCCTTACACAATTTTGAGCTCTGCATGTGGGTACATGCTGCTATACGCGGTGGAAGGGAAGTTGGGAAACGGCTGCCAGCTTACCCCAGTAGTGTGTCTAGGTGACTTGTGGTCTGGATGGGTGTCTTGTTTGTCCTGTTCGTCTCGGCAGTGCACGGCCAGTACCTGGCCCGTTGGCTCTACTCTTTGTGAGTCTGGAGCCCACTGTAACAACCACACACAGTAATGGAATGGCATGCCATTCGCTCTCGTGCCCACGTCTGTATTTTTTCGGGCATTGTATAGGCGAGATATTCGGGAAAATAGGTGAAAGGTATATAGGCCAGTAAGGTGTACACATATTAGACGAGACTTAAAGGCTTAGGCATAAGAGGCGCATGTGTAAGTGATGCCCTAATATACGATCATGTATGGCATAGTATTATAAGTGCATTTTTACATCATAACCTGTAGCAAGGGATGTTTAGGCTATGCGGTATACAGGTATGTTGTAGCAGGCTACATTTCCCTTAGAATATTTTAACGATTACTTTTAACAATAACTGTTAATTTGTTAAACGATCTGACTCAAGTTTCGTACATGTTCCGAGTTTCGTCACATGTCGCGAACTGGGCAGTTGTTCGTAAGCGAATCTAACGGGCTGGGGCCCCGGGCCCCACCAACATTATCCTAGTACGGCAAGGTCCGTAGTAGAGATTATCCGGCAGGTAGGCCGAGATATAAGCTACCCGGGCGGGGTGTTCTGGCCAGACACTGACGTATCACATTACTAGGTGTTCGGAGTTCAAGACTCCGCTGCCGCCGTCTCTAACCGTTACGTACACATCTTATGTACACTAGTGCTTGCCGCTTGGTTGGACTTCTCCCTACATCGGCGAGGACTAATAACTCCACGCTTCCGCTCTGTCAGTCGTCCCGTCAGGTGAGCGACTGCTACATATGTATACACTTGATGTTGTAAACGACATTGCCTTTATAGACGCAAGTATACATGATTCCCTATAATAGGACCTGTACAGGCATGGCATAATAGGCTTTTCTTATGAGTCACCCTTTAGATACTTGGGTAGTACCCAAGTCATCGCTCTGATCGATCGCGCGACCTCACTACCTCTCTCGAAGTGTCTATAGATTTACGATTGCACCCTTTCCTACCGTGGCTCGATCCCGGGATCTCACGTGAGTATTGGTCGCGCCTTACCGGTAGTACTTAACGCAGAATATAAAGTAGGGGGTTTTCGAGCTTTTATACTTAGAACCTAAAGGGCACTCATGAACATCAGCTGCGTTAGCCTGGCTTGTCGTCCATGCGGCAGCCTCTGGGCAAATGCTGGCTGCGGCCAAGAAACATGCAATGCAACCGCCATATGATCCCTAGGTGTAATTGTTTTGCATACAAGTCGACGTAGATACCTCCTGTGACCGCCGTACAGGAAGGAAATTTTCCGGTACGACAACATGTGAGGTCCAGAACCGAACACAAAAGCAGGAATCACCATTCAGAGAGTAAAACGTCGCCGTCCATGACTTATGCATATGAATTCACGTGTTCTCTTCGCGTTTTTCTCCTTCTTCGTAAGGCCAACGCGTCGACCAACGCACATCTTACACCCGTCCGGTCCAGAGCCTCTATAGCAATAATATTGACATAAACATAAAAGTCATTTATGAACATCTGCTACGTTTGTCTAGCATTGTCGTACCGGAGGTTGGGTGGGCAGCAGACCATGAACTTCTCGACTAGGAAATACTTAGCGCAGCCAAGAAACATAATTTAAATCTGTTAGTTCATCCCATTGGTCTTAGGAT